GGCCGAGGCACACCTTATGGCCCGGAGGCAAAGCTCAACGAGGAAGGCGCGCAGCTCTCGAGCTACAACAACTTCCAGGGCCGCTACATCATGCTCAATCGCTGGGAGGGCGAGGTCGAGTGCGAGAACCCTCAGTACGGCATCTGGGGAGGACCTCCCAATGGAGGCGCTGGCGTGACCGCAGCTCAGGACACCGCGTTCGCCAAACGAGGCGCTGTCGACCTCGAGAAGGCGCTCGCGCAAGAGAGCATCCCCACGGTCAACCTGCTGCCTGAAGGACCTTACAAGGTCGACCTCCCGAAACCTCCTCGCGCCAAAATGTGCGCCTGCCGAAGCGTCCACACGCCGAGCGTTCCGACCGATGCGCTCGGCTGGATCGCTTTGGGTGCGCTGGCGCTCGGCGTGCGCAGGAAAAAGAAGACTCTCTCGAACTGAACGCAACTGTAAAAAGAGGACCCTTATGCTCCGTTCGACACGCTCGATCGCGACCGCGCTGATGCTCACGGCGGGATCGCTCACGTTCATGCTCGCGCCAACCGAGGCGCAGGCGTTCTGCGGATTCTACGTCTCAGGCGCAGACCAGGAGATGTTTAACAACGCGACGATGGTCGTGATGATGCGCGAAGGGACGAAAACCGTCCTCTCGATGCGCAACAACTACGAGGGCCCTCCCGAGGGCTTCGCCATGGTCATCCCTGTTCCACAGGTGTTGGAGGAAGAGAACGTCAAGGTCCTCAAAGACGAGGTCTTCACGCGCGTCGACCAGCTCGCCGCCCCGAGGCTTGTCGAATACTGGGAGAGAGACCCCTGCTACAAACCTGACGTCCGCGTCTACGAGGACGACGGGGATGGCGCGGTCCTCGAAGGCGCCATGGCACCCGAAGAAGAACCCTCCGAGCCGGAGCTCGGCGTCAAGATCGAGGCGCAGTTCGACGTGGGCGAATACAACGTGGTGATCCTGAGCGCGAAGGAATCGAACGGGCTCGAGAAGTGGCTCGAGCAAGAGAAGTACAACATTCCCAAGGGCGCAGCGCCAGTGCTCAAGCCGTATATCGAAGGGGGTCAGTATTTCTTCGTCGCCAAGGTCGATCCCAAGAAGGTCACCTTCAAGGATGGTCAGGCGCAGTTGTCACCGCTGAGATTTCATTACGACTCGAAGGAGTTCTCATTGCCTGTGAGGCTGGGGCTTCTGAATGCCAAGGGACACCAGGACCTGCTGGTGCACATCCTGGCCAAGAAGCAGCGTTACGAGGTCGCCAACTACAAGAATGTCACCATCCCTACAAATATCCTCGTCAAGGACCACGTCCGCGACAGGTTCGCAGAGTTTTATGCCACGCTGCTCGACCGCACACTTGAGGAGAACCCCAAGGCTGTCATCACCGAATACTCCTGGGATGCCTCCACCTGTGATCCTTGCCCCGTGCCTGCGTTGCGCCCAGACGAGATCATGTCGCTCGGAGGTGACATCATCCAGGAAGCAAACCAGCGCGGTGTGGTGCTGACGCGTTTGCACGCGCGCTATACCAAGGATGAGTTGGAAGAGGATCTCATCTTCAAGAAAGCCGATCCGATCGTCGGCGGTCGAGGCACGCCTTCGGGAGAGAACCCGAAGATGGCAGAAGAGGGCTCGAAGCCTGGGAGTTACAACAACTTCCAGGGGCGCTACATCATGCTCAACTACTGGGAAGGAAAGATCGAGTGCGAGAACCCTCAGCGCGGCGTGTGGGGCGGTCCTCCAAACGGCGGTCAGAAGACGCGCGCGGCCAGTGATATCGCCTTTGCTCCTCGCGGGAAGTTCGAGCTCCCCGAAGCTTTCGCGCAGGAAAAGATCCCTGGGCTAAAGCTCGAGGGCTCGAAACCTGAACCTCGCAAGACGGAAGCCAAGGCGGAGGGTGACAAGCCCTCGACGAAAGCAGAACAGAAGACCGCCGAGAAGAAGCAGAAGAAGAAGTCCAACTGCGCTTCAGCCGGAACGCCCGATGTTCCTGCATCACCGCTGGCGCTCTTGCTGCTCGGGTTGATTGGCCTGATGCGCAGGCGCGCCAGGGATTGAAAAAATCAACCAACAGAAGCCTACTCACGTAATTACTGACACGAGCTTGCCATGAAAAAACAAGCATACTCCATACTCTCAGCGGTCTTACTCGCTGCATCCGCGAGCTTCCTCGCCCCGAATGATGCCGAGGCGTTCTGCGGATTCTACGTCTCAGGCGCAGATCAGGAGATGTACAATAACGCGACGATGGTCGTGATGATGCGCGAAGGGACGAAAACCGTCCTCTCGATGCGCAACAACTACGAGGGCCCTCCCGAGGGCTTCGCCATGGTCATCCCTGTTCCACAGGTGTTGGAGGAAGAGAACGTCAAGGTCATCAAGGACGAGGTCTTCACTCGCGTCGACCAGCTCGCCGCCCCGAGGCTCGTCGAATATTGGGAGCAAGATCCCTGCTTTCGACCCAAGCCAAGGCGACGATACCGCGGAAAAGGTGGCGCGAAGAAGACGGGGAGCAAGAGACCTTCGGGTGCCGCCAAACCAGAGCTCGGCGTGACGGTGGAGGCCGAGTTCGACGTTGGCGAGTACAACGTGGTGATTCTGAGCGCGAAGGAGTCGAACGGTCTGGAGAAGTGGCTCGAGCAAGAGAAGTACAACATCCCCAAGGGCGCAGCGCCAGTGCTCAAGCCGTATATCGAGGGAGGTCAGTACTTCTTTGTCGCCAAGGTCGACCCCAAGAAGGTCACCTTCAAGGATGGGCAGGCGCAGTTGTCGCCGCTGAGGTTCCACTACGACTCCAAAGAGTTCTCACTGCCTGTTCGCCTCGGTCTGCTCAACGCCAAGGGACACCAGGACCTGCTGGTGCACATCCTGGCCAAGAAGCAGCGTTACGAGGTCGCCAACTACAAGAATGTCACCATCCCCACGAACATCCTCGTCAAGGACCACGTCCGAGACAGGTTCGCAGAGTTCTACGCCACGCTGCTCGACCGCACACTCGAGGAGAACCCCAAGGCTGTCATCACCGAATACTCCTGGGATGCCTCCACATGCGATCCTTGCCCCGTGCCTGCGTTGCGCCCTGGAGAAATGATCACGCTCGGGTTGGACGTGGTCGATGGGAGCTTGCAGGAAGAGCCTGCGATCAGGACAACGTCACCACCTTCTCGCCGAGGACGCTCGCGTCGAACGTTCAGGCGTCCACGCAGCTCGGGTTGGGTGCTGACGCGTTTGCACGCGCGCTACACCAAGGATGAGTTGGAGGAGGATCTGGTCTTCAGAAAAGCCGATCCGATCATCGGCGGTCGAGGCACGCCTCACGGTGAGAACCCCAAAATGAACGAGGAAGGCGCCAAACCTGGGAGTTACAACAACTTCCAGGGTCGCTACATCATGCTCAACCCCTGGGAGGGCGAGATCAAGTGCGAGAATCCTCGGCGCGGTGTGTGGGGAGGTCCTCCGGGGTCGAGCAAGTCAGCGCCTCCCAAAACCAAGGCAGCAGCGGACACGGCGTTCGTGCAACGCGGCAAGTTCGAGCTGAAGACGGCCTTCGCGCAGGAGAAGATCCCCGGGCTGCAGTTGATGGGAGGAAAACCCGAAGACCTCATGGTCAAGAATGCCAAGGAGGACGCGCCCGCGAACGATACGACGGCAAAGGAGACCACTCCGGCTGAAACCTCTGCCACCACGCCGGAAGCCTCGAAACCCGCCGAGAAGAAAGAAGAGAAGAAGTCCAACTGTGCTTCTACCGGGACGCCCGATGTGCCCGCGTCACCGCTGGCGCTGCTGCTGCTCGGGTTGATTGGCCTGATGCGCAGGCGCGAGCATTGATTCTTTCAAGCCAGCGAGGTTGAACCCTGGAGGGTTCGGCGATCACTCGAGTGATTGCCGAACCCTCTTTTCTTTTGATGTGAACATGAACGGTCGCGCCGAGGTTCCTTCGCGAACCACCCTGCCTGGGCGGCGGTGTTGGCGCGTATTTTTCAAAGCGTGGTCTGGAGCAGCGCGAGTGATTCTCCTGAAAAATACGCGCCAACACCGCCGCCCCGCGCACCACCTGTGGTTCACGTCGAATCAGCGAGCCAGTCGAGGATGATGCTGTTGACCTGCGCTGGCTTCTCGCGGTGGAGAAAGTGCCCCACGCCGGAGACGATCTCGACCTTGTTCAGGGCCGTAAACCCGCGCTCGACGCCCTTCCAGTACTTGACCGGCAGGATGTCTGCGTCACCGCCGATCATGAGCGTCGGGACATCGATCTTCGTGCTCCCCAGCGTGCGCGTCTCCTTGGAGGTCACGCCTCGAACAAGCGCCCAGTAATACCCGAGCGCGGACTCGAGCGCGCCGGGTTGCTCGAAGCACTGCGCGACCGGAACAAGTTCCTCATCGGGGACATCCCAGCGAGGCGACCAGCGGGTATAGAGCTCACGCAGAAACCCCATCGGATCATCGCGGTACTTCGCGATGGTCGCCTTCTTGCGCTGGAACGCGATGAAGTGGCGCACCGCCCAGAGCAAATCTGGCCCGGGCTTTAGCGCGGCCGGCGGAGGAATCGCGAGCGCCACGAGGCGCTCGATCCTCTCCTTTCCTTGCACCGCCGCGCTATACACCGCGCTCGCGCCCCAGTCATGTCCCACCACCGTCGCCCTCTCCTCGCCGAGCGCCTCGATCAAGGCCAGCACATCCTGCCCGAGCGTCCAGACGCGAAAGTCCTTATCCTCGGGAACACTGCTCGGCGCATAACCTCGCATATAGGGCGCGACGGCGCGGTATCCCGCGTCGGCGAGCAATGGCAAAAGATCTCTCCAGGTCTGCGCGGTGTCCGGGAAACCGTGGAGACAGAGCACGAGCGGACCCTGACCGACCTCGTGGTAGGCGAAGTCGATGCCGTTGGCTCGAACTGTATGAATCTCTTTACTTTCCAAGTTGTTCCCCATGACCGCCCTTCCCAGCAAGGCATCTTTATTGATAGCATCGCGCAGACAACGGACAACAGGAGTCACCCCCTATGTCATGGCGCTCGACATCTTTTATCAGGCAACTGCTCGTCATCTTCGTGACAGTCACGAGTATACTCGCGACGAGCTCGAAAGCGCAGGCGTTCTGCGGGTTCTTCGCCTCGAAGACAGCTGATGTTCTCTACAACGACGCGACGCAAGTGGTGCTGATGCGACATGGCACGCAGACCGTGCTGTCGATGCGCAACACATACCAGGGACCGCCAGAAGACTTCGCCATGGTCGTGCCGGTCCCACAGGTCCTCGAGCAAAAGGACGTCGAGGTCCTGTCTGACAACATCTTCGACGCGCTCGAGCGTCGATCCTCACCGAGACTTGTCGAGCACTGGCAACAAGGTCGATGCGGCAAGAAACCAAGGCTCGGGCTAGACCCACTCGCAGGAGATCTGACTTCGATCGCGCCAGCGCAGACATCGGCAGTGAGCGTCGCGGGGAACTTCGAAGTCGGCGAATACGATATTCTGATCTTGAGCGCGAAAGAGAGCAACGAGCTCGAGAAGTGGCTGCTGACCAATGGATACAACATCCCCAAGGGCGCAACCAAAGTGCTCGCGCCATACATCGCGCAAGGGATGTACTTCTTTGTCGCCAAAATCAACGTCAACAAGGTCACGCCTGACGATAAGGGCAATGTGATGCTCCCGCCGCTCAGGTTTCACTATGACTCGGAGAACTTCTCGCTGCCCGTGAGGCTCGGATTGCTCAACGCCAAAGGACCTCAGGATCTGCTCGTTCACATCTTCTCGGTAGATGGACGCTATCGAGTGGCAAACTACCCCAACCTCACGATCCCTACAGATATCGAGGTTCCTGCGAAGGCGCGGGACAACTTCGCAGACTTTTACGATGAACTCTTCGAGTACGTCCTCTCGCTCGCTCCGGGCGCGATCGTGACAGAGTATGCGTGGAGCGACCAGGCATGCCGTGGCTGTGTGGCATCGCCAATCCAAAGCTACAACTTGCACTCGTTCGGCTTCGATGTGTTGCGTCCACTGGGTCAGGTGGAGCAGCAGGCAACTGTGTCTGTCCGCAACACGCATGTGATGAGCGGCGCGAGCCACAAGCTCGGCAATGCATTGTATATGGAGCTTCAGAAGAAACGAGGCGCCATGCTCTCCTGCTACGAGGACTTCCTCGCCACCTCCCCGAAAAGGAAGTCAGGAGAAATCCGCGTACTCGCCGAATTCACCGACAAAGGGACGACCAAGGACGTGCTGTTCATCGACAATAGCCTCCAGAATATCCGTCTCGAAGCATGCCTCGAAGCGATCTACGCCTCCTTTACCTTCGACCCCGTGGAGGATGTCACCAACCACCGCTATGAGTTTACATTGAGCCTCGAACATAAAGTCGCCGAGCAGCTTTACAAGCTCACCAGCCAGGGATGGACACTGACGAGGCTGCACGCACGCTACACCGAGAAGACGATGACCGAGGATTTGATCTTCGAACAAGCCCCTCCCATCCGAGGCGGCATCGGGGTACCTCGTGGCGAACATGGTCAACTCGCACCGCGAGGGCTCACGCGCTCCGCAAACAACAGCTTCCAGGGACTCTACACCATCCTCCATCGCGATGAGGCAAAGCTGGCCTGCAAAAAGGAGGCGCCTTCATGGGAGTGGCGCTCGCGATCCAATGAGCGTGGCCACTCGAAAACCCCATCGAAGAAGACCAAATACAAGCTCTCGAAGGATGTGCAGAAACAGGTCCGCGCACAAATCAAAGCCCAAAAGGACACCGAATGAAACCGCTCCGCTCGCTCTTGCTCGCGCTCGTCGTCATGGTCGCTGGGCAACTGCTATTCACCTCCAACGCGCAGGCGTTCTGCGGGTTCTACGTCTCTGGCGCGAGCGACGCGCTCTACAATGACGCGACACAGGTCGTGATGATGCGGCACGAGACACAAACCGTGCTCTCGATGCGCAACACGTATCAAGGTCCTCCCGAGGACTTCGCCATGGTGGTGCCCGTCCCACAGGTTTTGGAGAAAGAGAACGTCAAGGTCTTGCCTGACAGCCTGTTCGACAAGATCGAGCGTCAATCTTCGCCGAGGCTCGTCGAGTACTGGCAGACCTCGGGGTGTCGAATGAAACGCGGCAGAAAAAAGCTCGATCTGTCCCTGAACGATGGCGATTTATTCGGCAGCTACGGGGACGAGGCCCCGAGAAAATCAACGGTGAGCGTGAAGGCAAGGTTCGAGGTTGGCGAATACGAGGTGGTGATTCTGAGTGCGACTGAGAGCAGCGGGCTCGAGCAGTGGTTGCTCGACAACAAGTACAACATCCCCAAAGGCGCCGCAAAAGTGCTCGCTGCGTATATCGCGCAGGGTCAGTACTTCTTTGTCGCCAAGGTGGACCCGGACAAGGTCAAGTTCGTGGATGGTCGCGCGGTCCTCTCACCGCTTCGCTTCCATTACGACTCCGAGGAATTTTCGCTGCCTGTCCGTTTGGGTTTACTCAACGCCAAGGGAACCCAGGATCTGATCGTGCACACGTTGGGAGTCAGACAACGCTATCAGGTCGCCAACTACAAGAACGTCACCATCCCCACAAACCTCGTCGTCCCAGAGCGAACTCGAAAGAGCTTCTCCGACTTTTACAATGGCCTGTTCGACTACACGATGGCGCTCAATCCACGCTCGGTCGTCACAGAGTACGCGTGGGATTCGGCCAAATGCGATCCCTGCGCAGGGCCCACGCTCAACCAGGGAGATCTGTTCGTGCTCGGGTTGGACACCTTGCAAGGAAAGACCAGGACCGAGGAGCGCAGCGATGTATCGGTCATTGCTGTCTCGGCGGCGATCGGCTCTCAACCGGTCATGGAGACATACTGGCGCCAGCGACTCGCCAGAAAGCAACAGGACTTGCTCTCCTGCTACAAAACCTACCTGGCGACCGATCCTGAAGAACACTCGGGCAAACTATCCCTCAAAGCAAAGGTCACCGAACAAGGCAAGGTCGAGGATGTCTCGCTTCCCTGGAACACGTTCAAAAACAAGGACCTTGGCGCATGCGTTGCCTTCATCGTCGAGGGCATCTCCTTTCCAAAGGGGGAAGATGGCGCCAACCAAGACTACGAGATCGCGCTTTCGATGGAGCATCAAACCTACGAGCGCGAGATCCGTATCCCACGGTGGGGTTGGACGTTGACGAGGTTGCACGCACGGTACACCGACAAGACCATGACCGAGGATCTGATCTTCGAGAAGGCCCCCGCCATTCGAGGAGGCGTCGGGATGCCGAGCGGCGTGCGAGGTACGATCGCGCTAGAAGGCGCGGAGTTGGCAGAGTCCAACACGTTCCAGGGGCGCTACATCATCCTCAATTACGACAAGAAGAAGCTCTCCTGCAAAAAGGCGGATCGCTATTACTCCTGGGGAGGTCCACCGGCAGGCACGCGTGGCATCGATGACATGTGGGGCGTCAACTCGAGCGTCAGCGCCACTCGAAAATCAGCCAAGCTGTCCGGTAAACTCAAGGCCGCGGCGAAGCGGCAATACAAAGCGCCCGAATAGAGCGAAACTCTAACAAACGACGAGGAGTCTGGGATGAATCGCGACTTCGGGCACCTGCGCTCGTTGCTCAACGGGGAGGTCTCGAAGGAGAGCTGGGAGGACCTGGCCGACACGCTCTCGGACTTGCGGCGCGGGAAAGCCAGGCGTGTGCTCGAGCTTGATTGGCGGCCCTATATCGAGGCTCACCTCGACAGGTTCCCCGATAACCTCCGCGTCGCGCCGCTGGAGTGGTACGACCCGATCGACCTGGAGTTGTTGAGGTTCGCGCGTGATAAACGCGCCCTGTTCGTGAGAGCACACCACGCGCAAAAGCCCGAGGTCGAGGCCACCTGGCCACGCGAGCGAGGTGTAAACATCCCTCACGAGCTTCCAGCTCCACACGAGATCACGCGCATCGACCTCGGAGGACAGACCGCGCTCTCCTTGCACAAGCCTGAAGGCGCCGGATTCTTCGCAGCGGGTTGCAGCGATGGGCGCTGGGGAATCTGGGACGAGCAGACGCTCCAGCCGATCGCGCAGGGAGATGTCGATGGCGTCTCCTCGACGAAGCGAATCCGTCAAATCGCGGTGAGCCCTGATGGGAGCAGGTTGGCGCTCTCGGTGCAAACCTCCGGGCAATGGATCGAGCGCGACTTCATCCTCTTGAACCCGAGCACTGGCGAAACCTTGCTCGAGGAGAGCTACAGCTTCGATCGCAAGTTTCGTTGGCTCCCTGATAGCAAGCACCTCGTCACCCACAGCACCAACCATACGTTCCTCGTGGATCGCGATGGGCAAAAGCTATGCGAGCACCTCTGGCGAAACCGCGGCGGGATGCGATATTCGCTGACTGACTATCAGGTGTATGTGCTTCGCGAAGAGAACTTATGGACCTCCCCCGTTGGCAGCACGCACGAATCGAGCGCCATGCTCCACGAGCTCTACGAGCGCGTCGAGAGTTACCAATGGTCCGAGGATGGCTTTGCCTGCGCACCACAACACGGGCTGTTCTCGATGAGCACGACCGCTGTGCGCGAAGATTGCTTTTTGCTGTGCGCGTTGCAGGCCCCATCGGATGTGAGGATGACCTTCTCACTGGACGACGCGTGGCAACAGATCGTGTTCCAGCATGTCGCGTGGGGTGAGCGCGCCGCACGAATCGCGCTTGGCCTCGTGCATGTGGGCGCGCGTCGGATGACATTTTGCGTCTATGACGCCACCGAACACACCTTCACCTGCGCCCATGAAGCAGACCTCAGCGGCTACTACTCGCCAGACGCGCGGTCACTGTTTATTCGCGATGACACCGCGCTCGTCGTCAACGACGGACACTCGCTGACGATCCTCGATTTGTAACCTGTCAGAAGTCCTCGTGTTTGCTAGGCTGCTGATTGCTCACGCAAACAAACCGAAGAAGAGGATCATGATGAAGGTGATCGGAGCAGGCCAGCTGTTCGTGGCGTTGGTGTTAACCGGCGCGATGTTGCTATCAGGCGCCAGTGATGCGCAGGCGTTCTGCGGGTTCTACGTCTCAGGAGCGACGAAGAAGATGTACAACAACGCCACGGAAGTGGTGATGATGCGCGAGGGAACGCGCACGGTGTTGTCGATGCGCAACAACTACGAGGGGCCTCCCGAAGACTTCGCCATGGTCGTGCCTGTCCCGCAGGTCCTCGAGGAAGAGAACGTCAAGGTCCTCAAAGACGACCTCTTCGACAAGGTCGACACACTCGCCGCCCCGAGGCTTGTCGAATACTGGCAGCAAGACCCCTGTAACCGCCCCGCGAGACGTTATGGTGCAGTCAAATCGGGGGTAGTCGACCTGTCCTTGAAGGACATGTCCATGGCCGAAGAGAAGACCGCCGAAGTGGTCATCGAGGCGCAGTTCGATGTGGGCGAATACAACGTGGTGATCCTGAGCGCGAAGGAGTCGAACGCGCTGGAGAAGTGGCTGCTGTCGAACAAATA